GCAAAGCGCAGAAGTCTTGACCAGGTGTGACACTCAGCATTGGGTGATAGCCCATTGCCAGTATTATCAGTGGATGATGATGTTGAGTATTTACAGGCCTTCCCCGACTTGCTGAGTGCTACTGGCTATGGGACTCACCCGAACTCATTTTCCTCTAAAATGAAAAGAAGGTATAACAAGTCAGGGTGACGAGACGGGCCAACTCTGGCCCCATAGCCGCGTATGAGAGCTCCATGCGGAATATGGTTCCTGCGACCAATTTTGAAAAGGCATCTATTTTTCTAAAGGTATCCATGCCCAGAATAAACAAGATCAAAAAACAGGTATGAGATACTTTGAGAAGAAACCACCAGCCTCGGCATGTCTTGCTCATCAGAGTCCAGCCTACAAGGCTGTGCAAAAACAGAGCTTTTCATGACTTGCTTTCCTGTGAAGTCACGGATTGCAAAAACAGGTGTTGTCTTTCCACCGACTGCTGTGCGTGATGGTGTGTCCACACCCAACCTAACCCTTGCTTGCAAAGGTTCACTTTGCCACACCTTGGTGGCTTCCCTTGCACTGCAGAGGCTGCGGGGTGTTGGGAACTAGAAATGCGGTTCAACAAAGAACCCCCAAAGCTGACAATTCCATGTGGGAATTGTGTACCCTACCAAAATCTAAGACTCCTAGTCCTCAGCTGCAGCGCCATTGGTTGACTCTCCTGAGCCAAGGTCGTGGGGGTGTGGGTAGAAGGAGTGATGCTAGAAAGGGATGGGCCATGACATGCGTTAATCTATCAAATCATAATCTATCTACACATTGGGGGTCGCACAAAGCAAAAACAAACACTAAGAACAGTAAAGTTTCCCGCGGGGAAATCCTCCTGCAACTTCATGGCAGCAGTGTAGAACTCCTGGTATGTCTTGCACGCCTGGAAGTTGTCCGACTTGATGCACTTGTTCCAGAACAGGAGCTGCAGGGATGCGAAATGAAACGTCCAAAGGAGAGCACTACTGTCAATTACTTGCGAGAAGCACAAGAACAAGTAAAACGATTCTTGACTCTTAACCCAAAATGAGGTTACCTTTCTCCACATGTTGTTTCATACCGGTCCTGGAGCTTGCTGTGGCACGTAGTCCTTGGCCTGATCTTGTTGTTGAAGACTTCCTTGATGGCCAACCACTGCGAGCTCGATGGTTCTTTGGCGGGACGGTAGCGACCAGCAAATGTAGCAGGCTCGCGCCTGCCACCCGAACCACCTGTTGCAGAGGCATCCTCGGTGCTCTTCTTCTCAACAGGTTTGCATGGTTTGGCATCAGCGTTCTTCCCACTGGTATTGCCATCAGAACCACGATCCTCCTTCTTTTTGGTCCTCCTCCTTTTGGGCTCTTGCTCAGACTCTTCAGCCTTGTCCGCTTTGACCTCCGCTTCAGGCTCAACAGCCTTTGCAAGTTTGCCTCTTCTAGGCTTCTTCTTTTGTGGCGAATTTGGCGCTGCGTCAGCGTCAGCATCGAGGTCCACAACTTCCGGATGCGAGTCTTTCTGCTCAGGCTTTGGCTGTTTTCCTCGCCCACGGCCCCGACCGCGTCCGCGTCCACGTCCAGCCTGTGGTGAAGCAGCTTCACCACCTTCAGGGTCGGCCGTCTCCCCACCTTCGACTGCCACGGCAACCACTCTCGCAAGCTGATCGCTTCGGCGGACCAAAGGCGCCTGGAGCAGTTGAACGTTTCTTGTTCGAAACAGAAGGCTAGTTTCCCTTTAATTAGTTCAATCCCAACATACTCCAAAAAAGGTTTCTTGGATATCTTCAGGCCTTCAACCCCAAAAGGTCGGGTTGATTCTCTGTTAGCGAAGGTTCTGGCTTCTTCAAATGAGCAGCTTGAGGCTTCTCCACAGGGGAAGCTTCTGGCTTCTCTGATGGCTCTGGCT